AACTTTAAGCAATTCTCTGGCGCCTTCCTGCACTTCCTTGGAGCAATCATTGCTCCCCGCTTGCAGGACGGAAATTATGGACAAAAGCACAGACTATTGTCGTTCCTCGGGTAACAACAGGGCAGTGCCACGCTCCAGCATCGGTGGTCAGGCACGTCAGGCCTCTCCTCCGCCCGCTGCTCCCTCCAGACCCCCAGGGAGGACAGATTCAAACCTCTGGGTCCACCTTGTCTCAGTGCTTTTTCCTGATGTGTTGTCTATGGAGTGGCCACAAATAGAACAGCTAGACAGTGGTTCTCTGATGTGGGGGTCTCCTTGCCCTGGGACCCCTCCCCTCTTCTCTCCTCAAACTCAATGGAGGGGTACAAACTGGGTCTGGCCCCCTTTCCTTCCCCCCAAAACTGTGTGGGGCAGAGCAGTTGGTGCAGCCGTCAGAGTGTGAGTTCATGAGCTCAAGGATCTAAACCCAGATGAATGCAAACATCATAAAAGAAAGACAATGGACTGGACTGGAGTATACTGCATGGTATAACCCACAAAGCCGAATGCTGATAACTTATAGTAAATGATCATCAATGTATTTGAGACCGTAAAGAAGGAGATTAGCAACATGAAGCCAGAACGTGAGCCGTCAGCGCACAAACTCCTGCTGAGTCTGGTGAGGATCATCAGACTTAGAAATGCTGGTGTCACCACCCACGTGGGTGCACACAGATGCCTTAGGAACTCTCCCTGAGGCCCTCTGACTTCAGTGGTCTAGAAAAACAATTTGTTCACTGACTCAAGGTAAATGTTCTCTTTCTGAGCTAGTGTGAAAAGGAGTTCCCCTTGAAAAATTCCAAAAGTGGTTATCTTTATTCTATTTTTATTCTAACTGGTTGAATTCACATAATCCGTGTCACTTACCCAAGCTGACATTTCCTGAAAATTATGCTGTTGGCTAACAAAGAGCGAATGGTGGTTTTTGCTTTTGAGTACATAGTGTTTTCCTAGTTATAATGCAGGTCCATGCAAGAACAAGTGCCATGTCAACAGTAAGATTAAACCAGAAGAATGTCAGGCATATGGCAAAACGTTGAAAAGAAAAAAAATCACTTTGCAAAGATTTTTCAATCCATGTTCTTTCAACTGTTCTGTCTTTTCTCAGTGGTCTCTGTCTTAAAAGTTTGCCCATCCTTTTCGCTCTAGATCTTTCTGGGAAGGAATTGGAGTCTTTTAAAATCTTGCTTGACTGGTTATTCACTTATGACCATATTATTGTACCAAACTAGAACATTCAGTTCCCCTTGCTTCTGTGTTTGGGAGATTCTAGAATTATCTTTTCCCTTCACATTTCCTATTATTTCCTTTCAGGTCAAACCAAATATTTAGCAGAGGCATTTAATAATAAATTCTGCTTATGACTCACTTTTTTTGATTTCACATTTAGTCTGTGTATTCTATCATTTTGAACGTTAAAAGTTATCCATTGAAACGCTCTCAAAAGTAAGCTGGATGTGACTGAGCAAATTCGCAGTAGTAAATTTCCCAAAGGATGAGCAAGTCTTCAACAGGAGAATCTCGTTTCTGTCTACAGTTGTCTAGGCTGACTACTCCATCACGGCAGCATCTACCTCATCTCTCTTATCTACATTCACATTTACAGGACATCTGTATCTTATCTGCATCTATGTGACATAATGATTACCCAAACATAGCCAAGGGAGGACCAAAGAAAGAGGCTATGTGAGGAAGATAGACACTTGCTTCAGCAAAGAGAAACGGAACTGAGCAGGGCGGGGCTCATCTAAGAGTCCTGACTGACGCGAAATTAATGCAGATTAATGCAGATTAATGCAAGAGATCTGAGCGAAATAGTGACTCTAGTTTACAAAAGCTCATGGATAATTTAGATTTTAAAAAGAAAACTCTGATTTTCAACCAAATCAAGCTGCTGTATAACAGGGCAATATATATATATATATATATATATATATATATAAAAAAGGCAAGATTAATTACTCCAATACAGATATTAAAAATCACTTTTTTGTAGCTATCTTTAAACAAGATAGTTTTTCTTACATTCCTAACTCAGGTCTAGGTATAAAGTTAGTGCTCAGTAAATACTGGATGTTTTTCATAACTAGCTAAATGGTTTTCCTTCTTGCTTCTCCCTATTTAGTTTTTGAGGTTTTAAGATATATATTTATTTAGAAATTAATCTTGAAATTGTAAATATTTAAGAAGTATTAATGGACTCAGAGCATATAATTCCCATGAGTCTTAGATGTCTCTACATAAACCTCTCGTATGACTTTTTAAAAAAAAGGATCCCATTAATCACCTGGTAGCCTAGTAACGGGAGCCAAAGGTAAGGACAGAGCGAGGACCGGCCTCCTAGAGAGAGAACCGAAACCGAGGCCACAGCTGCCACGTCGCACGCGATTAGAAAGCGTGGGGTGGTAGGAGTTTGGGTGAGTTCTCCTTTCTGAGGAAACAGCTTCAAAGCAGAAAATACAGATGTGTAGAAGGGCTCACGAGGGATGAGCAACAAAAGCTCGCAGAGCACAAGTCTGGAAAGCACCCAGAGAGGGCAGCTCAGCCAGCTCCCAGCCTCAGACTGGATTATACCTAAACCATTCACGACAGAGGGAAATCGTTCTTTCCGAAGATGTTCAGAGAGAGGGTCATAATGTGGCCCAAAGACAGATCCTCCTGAAGCCCCCCAATTCATTTATTTAGAGTCATTCTTGGTTATTTTGTTAATGGAAAGAGAGAGAGAGAGAGAACCTATGCAGAAAGTTCACTGAAAACGAAGGTTCAACTCTTCACCTAGTGAGGCTGTTTCATTCCTCTTAGGTAATGCGGGAATTTCACGTCAGAGACATCAAACGCCTTTGGGCACAATGAAAAGTGATGGGACACCTACTCGAAGGCTTGCAGGAAGCGCCATGGTGAGTATTAAGGCCCCATGGTTTCACCAGTGAATTTTAGTCGACATCTTTATTAATGACCTCAAGGCAGATAATCAGTGTGTCAGATTTCCAGATGCTACTCAGGAGGTAATTTCCAAAAAACCACGGAGGGCAGGGACGTGATGCTCCTGGATTAGAGAAGCCAAACCATCCGTCTAGAAGCGTAAAGAAAGAACACATTGAAGCGGTCAACCTCTTTTTCTAATGAAGAAGATTGCAGAAAGAATTCCAAACGTTTCACATATATTTTGTTTAAAATAAAATGTAGAGTGATAAGGACACTGTTTTGTGATTATCCCGTCATGGTTCACTCAAAACAGCTTCGTTGACTGTCGCGCACGGGATCAGGGAGGCGTGTGCACGGACGTGGAGAACTGCGTTAAACAGGGATGCGGTTGTGCATGGCAAGCCTGCCTCTCAGGCAAGCCACGAACATGAACTGATCTGTCGAGAGAGCCTTCTCCAATCCTAAACAAACTGCTTTAACGGAGCTCTGAAATTTCCTTGGCTAATAGCAACGATTTACTCTCCTTTAATTAATAGAATCACATCTGTCTTTCTCTTTTTTATTCTCAATCTCATTTACTCTGATCATTTGGAAGCTCCACAAAGTAGACCCCAACAAGTGAGTCTTCGGCAGATGGGCGACTGCAGTGACTTATTCAGAGTCTCTTAGCAGGTAGATGGTGTCTGTGGTTCATCATTCTCAACCGCTCTCCATGGTTCTGTTCACTGAATGACACTGCTTTTTCTTGGGAACTTTTTGTAAAAGAAGAGTTTCTGCTCTTAGAGGTGTACGTGTCTTGTGAAACCCGTCTAGCTAAATGGGGACAGAGTCCTGGACTTTACAGCGTCCCGGCAGGGCTTTAAGACTGGGGGATGATGCCATGAAGATGATTATTCTCAGCTCTGGCTGAACTTCAAAATCATCCAAGAAAAATTTTTAAAATCTCAGTGTCTAAATTTTCAATGAACTGAAACCAAACGTCTTGCAGAGGAACGTGGACACCGGTCTTTCTAGAAAGCTCCTTAGAAGAGCGTTGCGCAGTGAAGGGGAGCAGCCCCTGCTGTGGGCGAGACCTGGGTTTGGTGAAGAGTGTGTACTGTGTACAGTCAGTCACTGCCACCAGCAGAGGGCCTGCTACGTCTGACACAAAAACTTCAAAAATGTGACTGATTTAGAGCTCAGCTCTCCATCAAAACCCGGTTCTGACACTATGGGTCAGAGGACAGCAGTCGGGCTAAACTGCCTTCTAATCAGAAAGTGTGCAGGAGCCACTGAACTGAGCTAAACCCCAAACAGCTGGCTGTTACAAATAATTTCACTTGAAAGCCATCTTATCTGGCAGTTTAGACAAGTTTTAGGGAAAGACCCTCAAAACAAAATTGATGGCTAATTAAGTGCTTTCTGAAGGACAAGGGCAAGGCTAACAGGTCTAATTTTTTTCTTAACAAATCTGTGCATACATTTATCCCTTTCTAGTCAATTTTAACATGCACCTTGTCTCCAAAAATTATGCTAAAGCAAAAGAGTCCAGAAATAATAAAATGTTTGCCTGTGCATCACTTCTGATTCTGGTCTCATTTGTACCCGTGGTTTTTTTCTTTTTTAAATGTACAGAGACGATTGTGTCACTTACACAGAGAGGTCAATGCCACTGAAAGAAGAATCTGTAACTGACATTTCCCAAGAGGAGGGGGCATGTCATGCCAGGTAGGGCCACAGGGGAAGCACCAGGGTCTGGCCGGGAGCAGAAGCAGGAGCAAGGGAAGAGCTAAGCCAGAGCCTTTATCCAGGTTTCTGTGGGAAAGGCAGAGCAGGGCAGGGGTAACAGGTTAGGACTGGCTCCTTTGAATAATTATGTCGGGCTTTGTGCTGCAGGGGCGTTGCCCGGTACCTGGCTCTTGGATGATTTAGGACAGCGAATGTATAGGTTGGGTGTGCACATGGCAGATGGAGGGAGTCATTGGGAGGACGGACTCCAGATCGGTTAGTTTGCTTATGAAAGGGGAGCTCTTGGCCCAGTCCTTTGCTGCCTCTCAGAATTGGCTGGCCCTGGGAAAGCAATCTCTTCCCAGTATTTTTAAGATGTCAAAAATCAAAACATACAGAAAATTTTGAAGCGTGAAGAATGCAATACTTCCTTCTGGACAAACAAGTCGTGTGAGCTGGAAGGTGCTGGGCTCCTTCAGCCCCCATGCGGTGTCTGGGGAGCAGGAACACAGCGGGAGGGTTTTCTGACAATCTTCAGGTGAGTGAGAAGATGAATCAACGATAAAGTCTCAAAATCCGATTTTACGTGCTCTGAGAAACAGGAGGATGTTCTTTATTCATTAATCCTATTTACGCAGTGTCTCCTAGATATTTCTAAAACTTCAATTGGTATATGGTCTGAAATGAACAGAAAAGAATAAAAAAACATTTTTTTTTGCCTCCTCCTAAAACAGAAAACAGCTGAAACCTTTAAGGTTCTCTACACTCTATGTAGTTTTAATATACTTGGTTGACCTACTAAAAACATGTTCTTTTCCAGATTCTACGCTCAGCTATGCCCACAATAGCTCTAGACTCAGAATTTTAGGGCAATATTTTCATTAGATATTTTACAGAATATTTTAATTTTATATTTCATTGTCTCTGGACTTGGTAAATGAAAGTACATTAAAAGGAACATCACTTACAATCAAATACTAAAAATTTGCAGAAAATGGTGAAAAAAGGTGAGAAAAGGGCAGGTAGTTTTCGTTTTATGTCCACATTTTCGGGATCAGCATAACAAAGCAGTTATAACGTAAACTTTGAGTAAAAACATACTTTGACACAAAATAAGGGCTGCTTTGCAAAGGAGGCTTGCACTCGCAGTGAGTCCAACTTTAATATTTAAAGCTAAAGAGATTCCTGGATAGTGCAGTTCTCTTACACGGTTTCATTTATGCGACTCAGATCCTGCCTCTTGAGCGACTGGTATTCATACGCCCCCGAATGACAGGACTCCTGGATGGCTGAGAAGCCCGCCAGTAGGGGGCGGCGTAGAGCAGATCTGCTCACGGTGCGCGGCGTCCCCCCGCCAGCCGCCGGGTCCTGTGTCCGTGGGGGGGCCTGTCTAAGCAGAACAGGTAGACGCTTCTACTGCCTCAGTTTCCGGAAATTATCACTTCGTGCTCCAGCTTTCCTTTTATGGCCTCACCTTGAGAAAGATACTCTTGGAAACTCAATTATCTTTCTATTTATATTTAAGCAGTGCTCATCTCTATAAAAGTAGAAGAGGAAATTTGCTCTTTTTCTGATTCTTAAGTGTTTAAAAATGTAAAAGGCAGCACTTTGCCTCGTCTCTCTTCCAACGGAGAATTAAAGGAAAAGTTTTATTGATTTAAGGACAGTGAGTTTAGGTTTCATTAACTTAAATAACTTGCCTGATCAATTTCATGAATCATTCACTTCACATTTTATAGACCATCTATATTTCAAAGAGGCATCACCTATATTCCCTGAAACAGGCTTTTCCAGGATCTGTGAATGAGTTATCGTTGCTATGTTTATTTTGTTTTACTTTATTAATTGTTATATTTTTTGTGAGGCACAAGGTTGGAATGTGAGTGGGGACAGATGAAATCAAAAGAGATTTTTGGTTTAGTTTCTTCTTCTTCTTCTTTTGTTTTTTTCTTTTTGCAGGGTTCAGTCTTCGCTTCAGGCTTTGTGAACAGAGAACTTCCAAACCACACGGTGATGTTCCTTGGCTCGGCTTTGCTGTGGTCTGTGGGAACCTTCAGGAGTCATGTTGAGGGCTGCCCCATGCCCCACACTGTGGTGGGAATGTTGCATGTAGGTGGTTGATGTTCTCTGCTGTTTAGCAGCAGGAACAAAGGAAACTAGAATAAAGTATGCCACAAATGTTTTCTCATGGATGACTCACACTCTAAATGGTTGCTCTTTAAAGCCACCATTTAAATAATACCAACATGTTCTAGAAACATAACAACCAGCCCACATCGAGGTTGCAGTTGGATCATACCCACCTCTTTTGGTCCTCTTCAGTGGAAGACTGTACTCAGCACTGTAGGGTAGAGGTGGGGAGATGGGCTGTAGACTGTGTTCAGTAAGTGTTTATTGAGGTTTACTCCATGTTAGAAATTTTGCTGAGCACCAGTGATTCAGTTATGAGAAATCACCTTGCTGTCAATAAATGTGTAGTCTGTGCAGATATCACATAAGAAGTAAATGTCATGTAGCACAGTATACACTAACCAGAAATAGAATGCAGAGTACAAGTATCAAAAAAAGAATGGCTGAAGAAGTCTACTAGCTTAAAAATCTTGTTAAGAATTAATAAAAAGATACATGTCAATAATTTAGAATGCAATGTGTAAGTGAGAATGAATGTTATCAGAACAGTAAAAGCCAAAGATGATTGTGTCTGGGACTACACTGAGTCACTTCCATGCATTGTTTAATTCCATTCACATAAAACCAGAGGAGATAGGCAGTGTAATGATGCCCCATTTCTGCAAGAGAAAACTGAGGCTTATTAACGCGAAATGTCTTGTTCCGCATCAGTGCTACTCAAAGTGATGCGTGGAATGCTGCTGGTCCATGAACTGTTCACCATAGATCTGGTCTGGGGTTTTACTCATTGGAACATTCTTGATCACTGATTAAATCTCTTTGCTTGTTTTAGTTCTATTCAGATTTTCTATTTCTTCTTGAATAGGTCTTGACAGTTTTTGGTTTTGTTGTCGTTCGTCTCAAGGCATTTTGTAATCTCCCTTGTGATTTCTTCTTTGACCTGAAGTTGTCTGAGTGTGTCTTTTAATCTCCACATATTTGTAAGTTTTTCAGTTTTCCTTCTGTTACCAATTCTAGTTTCATCCCATTGTGGTCAGAAAAGAGACTTCGTATGATTTCAATTTTCAGTCTTCGTAAATTTACTGAGATTTGTTTTGTGACCTAACACATGCTCTAGCCTAGAGAGCGTTCCATGTGCACTTGAGAAAAGTGTGTATTCTGGGGCTGTTAAGTGGTGTGTTCTGAGTGTGTCTGTCAGGTCTAAGTGGTCTAGGGTGTTATTCACGTCCTCTGTTTTCTGATTGCTCTCCTGTCTGGTTATTCCATGTATTAACAAAAGTGGGGCATTGGCGTCTCCAAGAGTTATTATAGAGCTATCTCTCCCTGCAGGTCTGCCCTTCTTTGCCATGTGTATCTTGGAGCTCTGTCAGGGATGGACATGTTTCTAGTTGCTGTATGGTCCTAATGTACCTGTTCTCAATACGTGTCCTTCTTTGACTCTTACAAGATTTTTCTTGACTTGAGGTCGATTTTGCCTGGTAATAATACAGCCACCTCTGCTCTCTTTTGGTCACTATTTATATGGAATAGCTTTGTCCACCCTTTACTTTCAACCTCTTCATATTGATCTAATTTGAAGCCCTTGCCAACATCTATTGGTCACTCATTTCCTCTCACTCTTCATCACAATTCTTTGTTCTTCTTCAGGGCATCCTTCTTTCTATTTCCAGCACATCACATTTATCCCCCAATCCAGGTCTCTGTGTCGTACTTCCCCTGTTTTCTTTCTCTCCTTTCTCCTTTTCCCCATTCAGGTTCTTACTTCTCACATTTATGAAGAGCTGCTCTCAAAAAACACTGGGAATTTCATTCACATTCAAATTGGCTTCAGATCACAGCAAAAGGTATTCTTCCCAGGGAGAGTCTTTTTTTAAACTGAGAACAAATGTCTAAATAAAATAAAAATGATTTAATATGTGATAATTATGCCCTCAGATTTTAGAAACTAAAAGTAGATTTTCTGTATCCCTAATCATAGGCCACCTGGTTCTTCTCTGAGGAGAAGGCGGTCAAATACTATTTTGGACCTTGGAAAACTGGGTAAAGATGAGGAACATGACTCTAGAAAACTTCTGGATGATTCAGTGTTATTTCTAGAACCAGAGGAATAAGAAGACGCGACTGAAATGAGCAGGTCTTTCAATTAAATTTCACTTTAGGCAAAAATAGATACAGATACACATAAGACAATGAAAAGAAACCACGAGGCACAAAGTTACTCTGATTTCAATTTTTTTAACCCAAAATTCTCGTGATTTCTCTTATGCTTCGGGTAAATGGACACCACAGTAGGCTATGAAGGATGGTCAGAGGAGACAGTGGACATTGTTTTCAGTCTTGAAAATAACCTGAACAAATGTGCAGTTCTTTTTACAGACCTACTGGCTCACCATAGCATTTTAATGATCTGGTGCTTCTTGAAATCCTAAAGGTAGAAATGGGACATGCCTTATGCTTCCAAAGATTATTCAGAATCAACCACAGATCACCAGGAGGGAACAAGAGTGTCAGCACTGTGAGGTGCTAGATACAAACACATGGCTTACAGTATAGTTTTCCTTCTTGCCCCTTGATTGATGAGTTTAATACATTCTCAGGTACACTGCCCGCTGCACAAGCCTGGAGGCTGCTGGGTGGGGGTAATAAGAATAATGCCATAATGCGAATCTCAGGGTAGTTTAAGGATTGGATTTGTGCCGCTGTAGTACATCGAAAGCGCTCCTGTGTGAAATTCGTATCCTATGTGACACTTGGGGGAATGAAAAAGAAAAACAAAATGCACCCAGGAGTCAACATGCCATTACATGGTTTGAATGTTCTCTTAAAAAACAATCTACCTGTTTTGGCTTCTGGAAAATCTGCCAAGAAAGGAAGACGTTTGCAATTAATATGCCAACAGGAAATGTCTCTGAGGTGAAGATATGGTCCTGGCGTTTTCGGGGAAGCATCCAGGGGAGGCAGGTGCGCTCCAATGATCCTCTGGCTGGGTACACAGTGCCAGCTCCGGGACTGCGAACTTCTTTC